GTGAATATTTGTTTGATATTAAGCTAACAATAAAACACACGAGGAAGACGACCCCATCCCCTTCGTCCATGTTCTTAACGTAATTTACCATTTTTTAGCTGCCGTTTCAATTTGTTGCTAATATTTGTCTCCATATTCGCCTGAATCAATAGTAATCGTATGTTGTCGTTATTAGATTGAGGGGGAGGGGGAACTGAGGGGAGCAACTGAGTGTTCACAGATAGAAGAGAGAGGTAGAACACACGCACACAAACACTAAGTGCGATGCCTCCCCAACAATGGAGACATACGCACCGTTTCTATTAAATACGACTGTAAAGTACCCTACAAAATGATTTCACGCAGATTTGAAATGAATGAACATTTGGAATTAATAAGAAATTACAATATAATTCATTTCATGTTGATACATGTTATTTTACACTGATTAGATAACGGTCAGACCTGTAGTGGTAATATTTTTAAAAATTCCATGAAGTACTAACCATGACGAGGCATTCTATTTTAGATAAATCACATTTTTTTACTCAAAGTTACGAACGGGTATGTATAAAACCCGATCTGATTCGATTAGTGATGGTGGATAATATTTTCAAAATTCAATCACAATTTCCAAAAAGATAAGTCAAATTTGAGATATAGAAACCGTCATAAGAATGAGTGTGAATTTAATCTTTAGGGATTAAAGTCTGTATATGTGAAACTAACTTAGCTACAACCCTTTCTAAATCACTTATATTATGTCAGTTCAGAGAAGCCTAATGTAGAAGCAAATATGTACATTATTATTTGCAATTCAATGGCATCCGCGTCACCATGAAGTAAATCCATGAAAATTGGCATTAATCTTATTTTAGAAGTGGATTTGGTGCATTTCCACAACAGAAACATTTGACAGTAAGAAAGCCTGAGGTCTGAATTCGCTTCTGCGTGACAATATTGCATCGACGAAGGTCTATATGAAACTGAACCCTTATATGTTCACACATATATAAAAAAAAATGTTGATCACAACTTTGATGCCACGTATTATTTTGTTAACTATTGTGAACATAAGGAAGACAATGGATTTCCAGTTATCACCTGCACTCGCAATTACTTCAAATTCCATTGGTATACTATGCCAAAAAGCATTGAAAATGCGTAATATCGAATGATACCAAATATATTGGTCAAAATAGGCTGATTGTCCATTGTGATTGTTTTTATAAACAATTGCTTAGTTCCACTATGGTCTTATGAGTTCCACAACATGCATGAATGCAACAATTGTAATACGATAACGGATTATTTACGTTATTTTATGACAAAAATTCAGGTTCTGGAACACGCATAATATATTTATTGATTATTAAAATAATAACCGCGTTAGCCAGGACATATCCCTGACATCCTTCTTTTTTTAAATGGCTATATTCTTTTAAGAATATTAAGGATAAGTAGCTTTAAAACAATAAAAAGTATCGGTCGGTTTTGTTCTATTATTTAAAAATATTTTGACTGTGGAACCAAAGGAGTGGGGCAACTTTGTCCATTTCGTATCAGACCTAAATAAATATGATATTACTATCGCGACGTGCCAGCTTTGGATTATATTGATTACTTCCTTCACTTTATCTGAGATATGTGATAATTTTTAGAAAATATAGTGGGCCGAAGTATTTAATTTTTACTTCATCTATAAATATTGGTATGGGAAAAATTACAAGAAAATCGATCAGATACAATTTTAAGAGAAATTATCAATTCCATATTTATATTTCTTGTTGATAGAAATATTTAGATACAGCTGACTTGTTTTGCAAGTTATAAGAGATAAAAGTATTGAAAATTGTGTCCCTTTGTGGATGAGGTACCAAAAGGGGTTCGAAGATGTATATCATCTTCGCAACACATAAAGCGATTCGGATGCTTATTTCGCTTTCTGTGAGCGTTTTGTTTTTCAAAATCTTGAAACCTATGCGGTGAAGGTACCAGAAGGAGTGCGCCGATATATCCCATCTTCACAGCCGACCTTGTCTTAGTAGAAATAATGAGATGTGCGAAATTTTTAATGAACCGGAAACTTATTTCGCATTTTATGATCGATTTGGTTATTCAAAATGTTGACCCTTTGTGGGGGATGTACCATAAGAAATGGTTCGATCTCTTCCATCTTAATAACAGATCTTGTGTTATTGAAAATGTTATTACCAACTTTATAAATGATCTTGTGTTGATGGAAATATTGAGATGTGCCAAGTCTAAATGGAATTGGATGTTATTTTCGCGTTTTATGAGTTTCATAAATATTCAAAATTTTGACCATTTGTGGTCATCTCCACACCAGACCTGAGTTAATAGAAATATTGTGATGTGTGTAATTTGAAGACAATAGAGTTTGTGAGAGTTATAATAATTCAAAACGTTTACCCTTTGTTAGGAAGGAATTTGTCCATTTTCGCACCTGACCTAGCACTGATGCAAATATTAGGATTTTCAAAGTTGGAGCAAAATCGGATTAAATTTTCTCTTTTGTGCAGGAAATTATTTTCTTTGAAAACATTGACATTTTATGGGGCAGGTACTAGAAGGAGTGGACCGATATTGCCCATCTCGAATTCGATCTAAGTTTGACAATGATATTGCGATGTACCAAGTTTGGATCAAATCAGATACACCCTTCGAGAGTTATCGTACACACCAGCCAGCCAGATAAATGTCCTGAAACGGATTTGGTCCAAAGAGACTTAGGGTCTAAAACAGTTATTTCGATGAGGCACCCTACCCTCTGTAGCCATATGGCTGAAAGTAAAGAAACGGTATACCAAGTGATGATGGTAAACTCAATAGAATAATATCCAAGAATATGAAGTTAACTGGCATAATTTAGGAATTTCTTTTAAGTATTACTATAGCACATATAATTTCGATGAATGACAAAATTACTGTGGATACTTTTGCTCAATTCTGGGACTGTTGATGGGTACATTCTTCTAATTGCAAATATAAAAAATACAATGTATGCATATTGTCGGTCTCATGTTTATGTGTTCCATACACCAAAAATTGCATCTGGAAATGCTTGTGGCTGATTGAAAACTATTAAAAACGGTACATGTACAAATATTAACAACCGACAAAAGATGTGTCTGTTTGATTCAGAGAATTATAATGTTTTAAAACATGGCTTTTTCAATTCTTTTCTCATATACGCGCTTTGGCGCAATTGTAAAATATTGTGCTTACATGTACTACACATACATATTTTGATTTTTTTACCTTCCAGAACTATTCATTACCAAAAATTTCGGAAAATTTAACCTAAGAAATTCAAGCTCTGTCTTAGACAGCAGCTTTATTATAAATTATCATCAATGTCTCATAACAGCTGTGATTTTGTTTCAGAACAAAAGGTGGTATATATCTAACAATAAATAACTTCAGCGAATTGTTGTTGTTCTATCTCCTGTATAGTTTGCAACATAACTTATGACACCAGCTTGAGTTGCATACGAAAAAAAATATTCCAATTGTGAAACAATTTTGAATTGAGGTTTACACATCTCAAATCTCAGCTTACATATGGGCACACGGACACATTTGTTTACATTCTTAATTCTACCCCAAAACATAGGAACTTATCAAGTCTTAATTTTATAAAACATTTGCTTTCTTTATTTTAAAGAAATCCAATGGTTTTTATTATTTTAATAAAAATAAATCGATGGCATCCAATAGTCACTGACCATTTTTACACACATGCCACCATCCTCCCGATAATTGTATTGATGGTTGTTTGTTTTTGTTGTTGTTATATTACACAGCACAACTATGAACTAGATCAGGCTTAAGCAGTTTCCATGGGTTGGGCAGCGGTTTCTTCGGTGTATTTGCCCTTGTCCTTGCCCAAAGCAGCCAAACGTCCCTTGCCGCGACGTTCCAAGATAGCTTTGCGATCCTTGTCCAATTTCAATTTGACAATCAACACTTGGAGGGATGGATGCCGACATAAACGTTGGTACCGTTGGCATTTTCACGTTGGATCTTCTCAATGTAGACGACAAACTTCTTACGGTAGGCTTGGACAACCTTGCCAACTTGGTTACCCTTGAAGTGGCCGCGCACAACTTGTACTTCATCATCCTTGCGAATGGGCATGGAGCGAACGTTGTACTTTTGACGCAACTCCTTGGAGAGGGGAGCCGACATAAGGCGACGACGAATGTGGGAGGGGGCCTGGAAATGGCGCTTGCGGTTCTTTCTGCGGGAAGATGTCACGAACTTGTTCAATTTCATTTTGGATGTGCTTTGTTGGGTTCACTGCAAAAGAAAAAGGAAACTATTAAAAACCAGGCCGATAATTTAAAACACACTAACTTAAAACACTAATTAAGCGTTAGTGAAAATGAGAAGAGATTTTCTTTACACCATCACATATATTTGTTTACTTCGTACGAAGCAAAGGAAAAAACATTAACAAGTCTTTGTATTTTTAAGGCGGCATCACTTCAATTGGCATTTTTTCATTTTCATTAACACTTCTCGATAAAATTTTCATTTTTTATAATTGTTCAGCTAATTGTGAGAATCCTTCACAACGTAATTCAATTCAATTCTTTTCGTAATACACGATGTTTTTTGATTTAAAAATTTCACTGAGAAAACTTACACCAAACAACTATCGTAAAAATACGAAAAAGAAAGAAATTGACAGTTGCGCTGTCGGAAGTAGCAGCGGCCAGTTGTCAAAAATGTTCGTTAAGTTTCTCATATGTCATTGTCCAAATACAACACTAAACTAAACGAAAATCATGCCAGAGTTGCAATTGGGAAAATATTTAAAAATAAATTGACCTTTATATGCAAGGTGGTGCTTTTTCTTAAGACCCCATGAAAATATAGAAAAAAAAAAAAGAATCGATTAAAACCGAGTAATGGTGTGTATCCCACAAAATTCTCCGATCCGATTTGTAGCCTCTCACAAAACATGGGTCCGATTCATTGCTTTGATCTGGCAAAATATCGATGACCGCACCATTCGATATGCTGCTATCGTTCGGTTGTCAGCTCTAACAGTTGATGGGGTTTGTTCGTATTTGTTGCGTTGTTTTCACGTGGACCAAGAGAACATTCATTAAAAAAATCTTCAATAATGGCTGAACTAATGGTTCGTAGGAAAATCTGATCCCATTCCATATTCGCCGATAAACATTATCGTTACTGTTTTCAGCACGGAGCGTCTTTATTATCGAGGCCAGCCGATGAGTTCGGAAATGATGGTCTGGTGGAGGAGATGTGGGCAGTCAAGGCTATGGATCATGCCGAAGTCCATTTTAATGTAGGTTTTTTTTGCGGAATTACGGTAATAAGAGCAGGTCATTGAACAGACAATTATCTGATGATTTCGAAATTGTTCGTGCCACTAGTTATTTTCTCCATATATGGACATTTTTTAAATTCCTAAACACTAGCTAAAAACCTAGCGAGGAAAGGCCAGAATGTGGGCCAATGCATAAATCAAATCGAAACCAATTGGGTTCAGGTATTTCTAGGTTGTATGTGATATCTTGTATATAATATAGCATTTACGTCTTTGGTAATATTACGCATTTAATTTATCAAACGATTCAGAATATCATATAAAAGGAGCTGGGTTTCTTGTTGTCTCCTTTTGCCTGTAACAAGCAAATGCACATAACCCTAGTCTCTGCCATAGTGAGGTATTGTACATTAAACTGTCATATTTCAAATGCTACATTAGCTAGAAAAAGGACAGCTCATTGGACCACAGATATTAAATGTACTACCATTATTCCTCAGTTACACGGCTTTGCGCATCCGCAACATCATGCCTTTAACAAGACTTTTTCTCCAATTCTCTTGCAGTTGATAACTAGTGTTCACCCATCCTGTCTCAGACTAACGCCCTACGATGATCAGATCTACCAAACTTTTCGCCAAGATTTCCAGATTTGAAAGTCGACATACTTTCTGATGACATTTTAAAATCACCTGAAGCTAAATTGGCTTGGCGTAACTTTGCCGAAAAATTCAACAAACTAGAAGACTACTCTTACGGAACCTTAATGCGGTATGTATGAAAATTTTGCAAAATAAAGATGGTTATTTAAAAAATAATTGTTTTAGGCGCCGATGCATCAAAGAATTTTCCCCTGAAAATTCCCTACTTGTAGTTCGCATCCAATTCTTGGCCATTGAAATCGCCCGCAATATCGAAGGTTACAATGATGAGGTGTATCGTAAATTTAGACCTGCCCCCAAAACACTGCTGACAAGTGAAAACAATGGAAGCCAACAGCAGGAAGTTTCTCAATGAATATAATGCCACCATTAATGTTAGCTTCGAAATAAGGATATTTTTACAAGAAATATTTATGTAGCTTTTTAGACACCTGTATAATTTAAGTAATACTTATTAAATTAAAATGTATGTTTCGGATCATCCCAACATGAAAACAATAGTATTTACTGTGTTCTGACTAACGAAGTCTTTAAGCGATGGCTGATTTGTCAGTTATGTGTCCAGCCTCTTTAGATTCACTTCGTGTAATGCTAAATAAAAATTCATCTGAGTCTCGGCTGGTATCTAAAGCTTAACCAACAACGAAACGCGTCGCACAGTGGTGAGAGTTTTCCCTTTTCATTAAGCCAGCCCGTAACAGAAAAAAAGTGCACATCGCTGAAGGTTAAATAAGCTTTATTTTATTAATATTATTATGTGTGAAAAATAAAAAAAATCGAATCATTTTATATGAAGTACATTGGATTACACTCCATAAAAACAGGTTTAATAAGACGCTGCTCGTATTCACGTTTCAAATCTTTCGAGAAAGTTCTTGCTCTAAAAAGAGGAACAAAATTATTGATAGGATACAAATTTCCTTTCAGAATAAAACTTACCCTTCTAAATAAACACGTCCACGAAATGCTACCAAATGCGCTAAATATGCAGGAGCCGGATAGGAAACAACTCGATTACAACGTGGAAACAAGTGACACAAATTATATGTAAGTTGTTGCAAAAGATCTATATCGAGGTTTGACTCGTCCATGATAACGTTATAGCGAGTAGGTTTCGCTGTACCTTGGATCGATTGATGGCTAACCATGAAGAACTGAACTTCGTTCGGATGAGTAATGTGCTGGTCGACAACAGTGCCTGGTACCACATTGTTAAAATCGCGGTCGTCGCGTGGTTGTGTCATGGGGAAAAACCTAGTGTGGTGTCGCTTAACAACAATGATACAGGTCAATTTCGGACTGCATTTCTGTGTGATTGAATATAAAGAAAGAAACATACATAGACACATTATAGATACGCAGGTGTTGATTATGATGGATTACATTGAAGGCAAAGTTATTTACCAATTTGGCGCAAGCTCTTTTTATTGCCTTTAATTCAACATTCGCAATGATGGGGAATTGGCCATCCGACACGCCGTCTCTGTAGTAAATAATCTGAGAAGGATACGTTTTCATGTATTTAAAATAGACCTTCAAATGTTGGGTTGCGATCGACTCCATGTCTTCGATGTCTTCTCTAGTCGACTGTTGCAATCTGTATTGCATGTTATAACAAGCTCCAAATGGATCGTGTGAAGCTGTGACTCCAACAACACTCGGAATGTGACGCTGATCGGGGGACGGGTGCGTTACGTCGGCGCCCATAAACATCACATTTTTTAATGGTGTCATCATCTGTTTCATGGCAATATCCCTATCCTGAGATATTTTGTGATTGGTTCCGTTAAGCTTCCCGTTTACCTTTAGGAGTATATTCGAAAAAACTGTTAGATCTCTTGCAGTTCGTCCGATAGTTTCCTCCTTTATACACTGTGTTAGAATTCCAACTCTCAATTCGGCGTTTTGCTTTATATCGGAATAAGTGGTTCTACTGTTTCTACCCAAGACAACAAATACCAGGGCATACTTTTGTTTTGCAAGATCCGCAAGTGTGGCATTGATATTGCGATATGCTATAATTTCGGCCGAGTTTTCAAGGTTCATATTCAAATTTTTTGAGGTGGTTAAGACCTGCCAAAAAAGAACACGTTTTAACCTAATTCATTTTTCACATTTATAATGCTTACCTTATTTTTAAATTGCTCCAAATCTCTATAACTCATCCTCGATCGGGGATTTTCTTCGTATATTATACCCCATTTGTGGCCTGCTCCGCCTTGTGGTTGAGAACAAGTCAAAAATTTTAGTCCATCCATACGCCAAGCACCACGACTTGTTCTAACTGTTTGTCCGTTCAAATACTCCATTAATGGTGATGGTAAAACACGGATTGGCACCTTAATAAAACTGGAACCGATTTGGATACCAAACGACTGGACTATTGCGCTGGCATTATGATTGAAATACGTCAACATATCCATGATTTTTGCCTTGCGGCGATTGGTTGAAGTTGCGGCAAAACGTATCATCTTCTGCACTTGTTTTGATTCGTCTTTCCGCTAGACACGATTTCAGCAAATAAATACATGTTGAGGAAACTATGATATGTGTACTTACATTTAATGCCTGACCTTCGGCAATCTTACATAATTCTATTGGCAAATAAATTGAACGGACCGTAGAACCAACTTTCACACAATTCAATTGTGGATACTTAAGAATATAACCTCGGGATTGAAAGTATGCAGCAATAGTCATCTGTGCACCCTCATCGTTTTTAAAAGTCAATTTCGAAGCAGAATCCCCTAAGCCCATTACTTTGTATCTCTTGTCAAAACTTCCAAATGACGCTGGTGGTTGATACACAATGTCAATGTTTTTTAGGTATCGTTCAACATTTCTGTATTCGTAACTTTCCAAAGGTTTTTCCAAACTGATATTATTGTTTGCCAAGTAATCGAGCAGAGGAGATTCACGTGGAAATGACTTGTGGGCAATATCAACATTAAGAAACGGTACTTCACCCAGATTGCAGCCTGGAACAAACCTGTCCAGGCTTCGTATCCATCCTCTAAATCGAATGGGTTTCTGGGTCTGCAAAAAAAGGAACGTCCAACACGAATGCTCCGTTCATTGTTACTTTCCGACAAAATTACATCTAAAGCTTGCAAGGCTCTCATCGGTTTGTCGGAAACTTTTCATTGTGGTATCTGCAATAACAGCAATAGCAATAACAGCAAAGTCAGTTCAACTTCATTTCTATTGACTTACGTTCTTAGTGAATTGAGATCCACAACACAGTCGGTAGTTTCCTTAATTTCTACTCGAAATTCTTTCGTGCGGTTGCCCGAATCTGGAACCTAAAAAAACATTGTAACCTGCCAAACCCTTAATTTAGAAACTACGTACATGAACTGTATGTTCGATTGGACCCGGAAGTCGCACTGGGGTATAGCAACTTTTTCTGCCATCAAATGCAGCTTCAATACCACCGAAAGTTTCCCTTTTGCACTGTTGAAATGCAGGACGCATAAATTTTTTTGGCCGATCTGGTGTAATTGTTACGTCGTAGTGGTAGGCTTCATTTGGCATATTATCAAGAAGCAATCGTAAATAATTCACTTCTACGACACCTTCTGTACCACGTGTTCCACGAACAATACCAGCACAGGAGGCCTTTTTTACCGGAAGGATCTTTTCTATAAAAGTTAATGGAATAAAGGTAATGAGAAATTAATTAGAGGATGTTGAATAATGCCACATATCCTTTCGGACACGCACTGAAACCAGTGTTTAGTTACCTTCCGAAAGTGACAAATTTTGGAATGATGTCACAACTCTTTGCTGTTCTTGCAATTGCCTTTGTTGAGCTGCGCCTCTCTGTTGCTGTGGACGGTTGCTTCCTCCTCCCGATCCTCCTTGTTGTTGTGGGCCAGGCCCTCTTTGCTGCTGTTGGGCACCCTGATTGCCTCCCGATCCACCTTGCTGTTGGCCAGGACCCCTTTGCTGCTGTTGGGCACCCTGATTGCCTCCCCATCCACCTTGCTGTTGGCCAGGACCCCTTTGCTGCTGTTGGACACCCTGATGGCCTCCCGATCCACCTTGCTGTGCACCTGGACCTCTTTGCTGCTGTTGGGCACCCTGATTGCCTCCCCATCCACCTTGCTGTTGGCCAGGACCTCTTTGCTGCTGTTGGACACCCTGATTGCCTCCCCATGCACCTTGCTGTTGGCCAGGACCCCTTTGCTGCTGTTGGGCACCCTGATGGCCTCCCGATCCACCTTGCTGTTGGCCAGGACCCCTTTGCTGCTGTTGGGCACCCTGATTCCCTCCCGATCCACCTTGCTGTTGGCCAGGACCCCTTTGCTGCTGTTGGGCACCCTGATTGCCTCCCCATCCACCTTGTTGTTGACCAGGACCCCTTTGCTGCTGTTGGGCACCCTGATTGCCTCCCCATCCACCTTGTTGTTGACCAGGACCCGTTTGCTGCTTTTGGGCACCCTGACTGCCTCCCCATCCACCTTGCTGTTGGCCAGGAGCCCTTTGCTGCTTTTGGGCACCCTGACTGCCTCCCTCAGATCCTCTTTGCTGTTGTGCTGTTTGTTGCGGGACACCTTTTTATGTAAGTACGTATCATTGCAATTTATAAATGTTAAAAAAACTACCAACATACCTTGTTGCTGACCAGGTTTCTGAAGTTGCTGTTGTCCACCTTGTCCTCCTGGTTGCGGTGTCTGTTGTCCTTGCTGCCCTTGTCCACTTTTTTGTTGACCAGGGACTTGGCTCTGCTGACTGCCTTGGCCTATATATTATATTGGAAAATGTTTTAATACTACTATATGCCTGTTTTAATTGCGAAATAATGTTGCCATGAAACTATTAGTCAATTTACCTGATTGGGTGTTTCCTTGCGATCCTTTTTGAGGGTCCTGGGTTTGTTTTTTCCCAGACGAATCCGATTCGGATGACTTGTACTCTAAACACAAAAAACACGTAGATGTCCACAAAGTATTTCATCATACAATTCAACAAACAGACAAACAAATGTTAGCCAAACAAAAAGTTTTCTATTTTGGGAATACTCACTATTCTTTTTTCCCATGGCTGTTCAAAACTAGCTTTCTTCTATAAAATACGTATTTTTCTAATAAAATCTGCAAAAAATCTTTATTAATTTGAAATTAAGTCGAATTGTCCCGAGTTTTATTCCTTCTGTAGGTCTTTGTGTATATGGTTTCAGCTTTGTTGTGTTGGGCTGCTGCGTTTGTTGCTTATATACTCCTCAGTTTAGGGTTGCCATTCTTCCTCTTTTTAATCAGTATAATTAGAAAAACATTGTCGATTTGATAGAATTAATTTAAAAATTTTGTTTATATCGCGAGGTGCATTGTTCACAATTATGTACTCTATATCCATCTCTCTGGAACCTATATTTACGCTCAATTTATATTATAAATTTTTGTTAAACTTGGCAACTCTTTTTGGGATGAAAATTAACATATTTGGGTTTAATAGCGTGTGAATCCCCAAGTTCGTATTTTGTTACATCAAAAAAAAAAAA